TTATCTTCATTCCTGTGCAAACTGAACCCAATAAAAGCTTGTTGAGGAAAAGGCTCCTGGCCCTCCTTCTTTGAGAAATTGGCTGCCTTTCCTCCCCAAACAGATCATGTCTTGGTATACTTATTCTCATCTGTGGCAGCTGGGGGGCCCTGAGGGTGGAGCCCCCCACAAGTACATATATACCACATCTGCCTTATCCATTCACTCACAGACACTTAGGTTATATCTGTATCTTAGGTGAATAATACTGCAATGACCAAGGGGGTGCAGATATCTTTTTGAACTCCTGATGACATTTCCTTTGGGTATACACCCAGAATTAGAATTGCTCAATCATATGGTAGTTTAACTTTTTAAAGAAATTTTTTAAGGAACATCCATACTGTTCTCCATAGTGGCTGTACCAATTTACATTCCCATCAATAGTGCTCAAGGGTTCCCTCTTCTCCACATCCGCACCAACATTCAACTCTTGCCTTTTTGAGATAGTCATTCTGGCAGGAGTGAGGTAAAATCTCACTGAGGATTTGACTTGCATTTCTTTAGAGTTTAGTGATGTTTCATGTACCTGTTGATCATTTGTATATCTTCTTTGGAAAAAATGTCAGTTCAGTTCCTCTGCCCATTTTTAAATTGTACTGTTTGTTTTTGCTATGGAGTTGTATGAGTTCCTTATGCATTTTGGATAATAACCCCTTATTAGATATATGATTTGTACATATTTGCTCCCATTCTAGGTTTCCTTTTAATTTTGTTTCTTTTGTTGTACAGAAGCTGTGTAGTTTGATGTAGTCCTGCTTATCTTTGCTTTTGTTGCTTGTACTTTTAGTATCACACACACAAATTGTTGCTAAGACCAATGTCAAGAAGCTATTTCCCTATGTTATTCCTAGGAGTTTTACAGTTTAAGACCTTATATTTAATCTCTTAAATTCATTTCAAATTAATTGTTAAGAGAAATTTCATTCTGCATGTGATTACCTGGTTTTCCCAGCACCAATACCTGAAGAAACTATTCTTTCCCCACTGAGTGGTCTGTATTCCCTCATCAAATATTAGTTTGCCATAATATGTGGGTTTTCTTTTCTCTGTTCCTGATTCTGGTCAATTGGTCTATGTCTATTTTTGTACCAGTAACATACTCTTTTGATTACTATACATACTGTTTTGATTACTATACTTTTGTAGTATAGTTTGAAATAAGGAAGTGTGATGCCTCCAGCTTTGCTCTTCTTTTTCAAAACTGATTTGGCTAATCAAGGTCTTTTGTGGTTTCACACAAATTTTAGGATCTTTTCCTACTTCTGTAAAAAATGCTATTGGATTTTTGATAAAGATTGCACTGAATCTATAGATGGCTTTGGGTGGTATAGACATTTTAGCAAAATTAATTTTCCCATCCATAAACAACGGTTATCTATGTATTTGTTTCTTCTTCAATTTCATCAAAATCTTATAGTTCTCAGTATACAGATTTTACCTCCTTGGTTAAATTCTTCAGTATTATATTGTTTTTTGATACTATTGTGAATGGAATGGTTTTCTTTATTTTTTTTTCAGATATTTCACTGTTGATGTATAGAAACTATGTTGATTTTATATCTTGCAATATTACTGAATTTGTTGAGGAGTTCGAACAGTTTTTTAGTGGAATCTTTAGGATTTTCTATATATAAGATCATATCTTCTGCAAATAAAGACAATTTCACTTCATCCTTTCTGATCTGAATGTCTTTTATTTCTTTTTCTTGCTTAATCACTCTATCTAATACTTCCAGTAGTATGCTGAATAAGAGTGGTGAGAGGGGCACCCTTGCCCTGTTCCCATTATTAAGAACAAAAGTTTCCAATCTTTCATTGTTGAATATGATGTTAGCTGTGGGCTTCTCATATATGGACTTTATTATGTTGAGGTACAACAAATTTATTGATAATTTTTACCATAAAGGAAAGCAGCATTTTGTAAAATGCTTTTTCTGCATCTATTAAGGTGATCATATGATATTTACCTTTCATTCTATTAGTTTGACCCATTGCATTTACTGATTTGTATATGTTGTACCCTAGGAATAAATTCTATTTGATCATGGTGTATAATCCTTTCTGTGTGCTGTAGAAAGTTAGTGTGTTAATATTTTGCTGAGAATTTCATGCACAAATATCTAATGAATCTACATTCACCAGGGATATTGGCCTATACATTCTCGTATTGTCCTTATTTGGCTTTGGTATCAAGGTATAGTTGACCTTGCAAAATAAATATCCCCTCCATTTCAATTTTTTGAAAGAGTTTGAAACTATTTTTTAGAAAAATATATGTGGTGGATATCACTTGAGAAATCATCTGACTCTGAGCTTTTCTTTGTTGGGAAGTTTTTGATTACTGATTCAATCTCTTTATTCATTACTGTTGTTTATATTTTTTATGTCTTCATGATTCATTTTTGGTAGTTTCTATGTTTATAGGAATTTATCCATTTCCATTAGGTTATCCAAACTGTTGGCCTATAATTATTCATAATAGTCTCTTATAATCCTTTGCATTTTCTGTGGAATCAGTTGTAATGTTTCCTCATTTATTTCTGATTTTGAGTCCTTTTTTCTTAGTCTTGCTAAAGGCTCAAAAATCTTGTTTATCTTTCAAAAAACACAGCTCTTCATTTTCTTGATATTTTCCTGGTACATATTTTTCACTTAATTCTGCTTTGATCTTTATTTCCTTCCTTCTGCTAATTTGGGGTTTAGTTTATTCTTTTTTTTTTTTCTAGTTCTGAGAGGTATAAAGTCAGCTTGTTCATTTTAGATCTTTCTTTTATCTTAATGAAGGTATTTATCACTCCAAAAATCCCTCTTAAAAATCCTTTTGATGTATCCCATATTACAGTATTATTCTAAATATGACTATATACTTAACTTTACTAATGTGTTGTATATTTTCATTTGCTTTCATGTTACTGATCAGCATCCTTCCATTTCAGCTGGAAATAGTCCTTTTAGCATTTCTTGTAAGACAGAGCTAATGGAGTCCCTCAACATTTGTGTGGGAAAGTCTTTATCTCCTTCATTTCTGAAGGATAACTTCATTGGAAAGAGTATTCTTGGTTGCAGTTCTATTTCTTTTAGCACTTTGGACAGATCAGTCTACTCTCTCCTAGCCTCTATGGTTCTGGTGAGAACCTGTGAACCCACTGATAAAATTATGGGGGTTTCCTTGTAAATTACATGCTTCTTTTATTTTTCTGCTTTTAAGATTCTTTTTGATTTTTGGTAGGTTTATTACAATGTGTCTTGGAGAGGATACCTTTAAACTGAATCTATGAGCTTCATGAACTTGGGTATCCAAATTTCTCCCCAGTTTGCAGAAGTTCTCAGCCATTAGTTCTTTAAATGATCTTTCTGTGCCCTTCTCCCTCTGTTCTCATTCTGAAACTCCAATTGTTCACAAACTGTTTTATTTAATGGTCCTACATATCACACAGGCTTTCTTCAGTTTTGTCATGCTTCTTTCTTCATTATCCTCTGACAGGATATCAAACTTCCTATCTTCTAATGCACCAATTTTTTCTTCTGCTTGATCCATTGTGATGTTGATGCTCTCTATTACAGTTTTTTTCCATTTCATTCATTGTATTCTACCCAAGAATTTGTTTGGTTCTTTTTAAATCATTTCTATAGCTTTGTTAAACTTCTGCTTTTGTTTGTGTGTTATTTCCCAATTTCATTGAATCATCTTTTGTGTTTTCTTGTAGCTCTTTAAATTTTCTTAAAGCAGCTATTTTGACATCTTCACTGGGTAAATCAGATCTTCATGTCTTGAGAACAGGTTACTGGAAGATGATTACGCTTTGGTGATGTCATGTTTTCTAGATTTTTTGTGTTCTTTGAAGTACTGCCTAGCTGTCTTTGCATCTGAAGCAGTAGTAATCTCCTCCAGTCTTTACTAACTGACCTCTCTAATATACCCAAACTCATGCTCTTTTCTTTTTTCTCCAGCAGTATGGTAGAACTTTTCTGCTAGAAATCTGGACTTCCATTCAGGATCTCTTATTTAGGGGCAATTGTCTAAGACAGTAATTTTCAAAAGGCACGCCATAAGAATTTTTAAAACATGCAACACCTGATATTTAGTCGGGGGCACTGACCTTTTTTCCCTTAGATTGTCAAATTAAAAAGTGACAGCATATAACACAACCAGTGTGAATGAATAAAAATTATACCAATTTTTTTGTCAGATTGGCAAAAAATATGTTTTTTTGGCGTGCCACAGAATTTTAGTAATTAGTTTATGAGTGTCATGAGATGAAAAAGGTTGAAAATCACTTGTCTGAGTCAGCATTTTTCATATGCTCACAAACTACAGCCCAGGAGGTCCACAGACCACTGCAGAGTCCAAAGCCAGGAACAAGGTCTGCATGTTCAGTAGCTGCTGCATGGGTGGGCAAGACTCCTCCATGTGCCATGGCATGTGGTGCTGGATACCACGGCTTACACAAAGGCATCTGTCCATGCATGGAAGCAAATTGTTGTGTGGGGGAGGGGTCATAAATGAAGGACATCTTATTCAGCCATGAAACTGTCTTCTCATTTTAATTTGAATCTAATCACATTAAGCAGTGACCTTCATAGTGTACAACACATTTCTCGAAGCTTTGTTATATATGCAGTTGTGAATATATGAAACACAGAGTTTAGTCCCTGTATTATCATTTATTAATTATTATAACATTTACTATATGAAAAACTGTAAACCTGCTTTTGCCAACCCTGTATATTGTCTTACTGGAACTTACTTATAAAAGTTAAATGAAAATACAATTAAAAATTATTGACTTTCAGATATTCAATTAATAACAGTAAATAACAATTAAGCAACAAGTAAGAGTTCTGGCATAAAAATGACAGAGTTGCAATCCAAAAGTTTGTTTTCCTCCACAAAGCAGTTATCAGAAATCATTAAAATTTTTTTTCTCAACCTCTTTTGGACAAATACTACCACATACCAGGGTTCCATTTATGTCCTGAGTCAGATTCTTCATCTCTCCCACAATGAAAGCAACGAGGTAAGTACTCATCTTCACGCTTTCGAAAAACTCATCCTGAATAAGTCCATCTTTCATAGTGACTGATGACTTCTACAAGCAAAGGGGAAAAGATGACAATTCTGTAATTATGGGAATAAATGACAGTGACAAACTGAGAAACTGAAAATTCAAATAGAAAATAAGCAGTAAATATGTTGGCATGTTTTAATCTCTCAGCACTAGTTTCTTTTTTAAAAGATTTTATTTATTATTTTTAGAGAAAAGGGAGGGAGAAAGAGTGGAAGGGAAACATCAGTGTGTGGTTGCCTCTCATGCACCCCCAAATGGGGACCTGGCCTGCAACCCTTCGGTTCACAGGCTGCACTTAATCCACTGAGGCACACCAGCCAGGGCTCTCTCAACATTAGTTTCTAAACAGAGCATGGCCCTTAGTCTCAGTCTGTTCCACCATCCTTCACCATAAGGATATATTAATTACAGTGAAAATCCCTAATGAGTTTTTAGTCTCAAAAGATGGCTTTAGGTAAATGGAAGTTAGAGACAGTAAGCAACATTGGCTCTGTTTCTTGCTTTAAAACACCACCAAAACCAAAATCCTTTCTTATCATATAGCAGTCATTGCTCCTCTCTAATGCTACAAATATACTCAAAGAAGAAGAAGCTAAAGCTGGGATATCATGCCAAATGATCTGAAATGGCTTCAAAAGGTAACATGTTATGACCCCAAGGTTTAATGGGATCATGGTCATTGGAGAAGTCTGTAGTAGGCAAAAGATAAGGGAATGCAGGCAATTTTACAGGATTTTCTGACCATGAACTGCAAAATATTTTGGCATACAAGGCAAATAGGCATTCTACCTCTTTTAGAGAAAGATTAAGATGATGAGTATGGCCAGGAGTGCAGCTGTTGAAGCAATGTCTCTGTTAAGTACAGACCATGTCCTCTCTTGCCTGCAAAGGTTCACTCCATAGTCTGTTGAATGTGGCTGCTCCTCTCCCCCAGCCACATGGGTTCTGAGAGGCTCCTATCAGGCTGCACGCTGCCCCTCAGGTGTCAAAAAAAGGACACCCTAAGTTAGGTTTAGCATAAAAACTATTTTGCTTGGTTTCACACTCACTGCCTCCCATGTACAGCTCACATTAATTTTGAATAATCTTGGTTAGTCAAGATTTTTAAATAACCAATAAAACACCAAGGTCAATAATGATTCATGACTCTCAACTGTTTAAAATAGCAAATTCACCATATCTCAGAAAATATCACTTTGATTGGTATTGGTTCCTAGTATTAATATTTTGTACGTCTTTAGTGCACAGCACACACTTCATGTTTCCTGCCCTCACATTCCACACTCAGCAGGTCTTTCTCTCTCCTCAAGTGATCCTCAGGCTGACTTCCCAATTGATTCCAATGTATGTTTTAACTTTTACTTATGTATTTTAAGAAAAAATAAAATGCATAATAAGCATTTACTCATTCTCAACAGTACAGCAAAGAGGAATTCAAACCACAACAAAGAAAGAGACCCACTGAAAGATTTTATAATCAAGGATGAGAACAGTACCTTCGGCATATTTGATAAAGCAGTGTACTGCTCCTCTCTCAGGATCCTGATGATAAATGTGGCTTTAAACGCTGGTTCGTCAAAACAAGGAAAAGCAGATCTTGCTGCCAGGGGTTCAAACTGAGTTGCTGCAAAGTATCTAAAAAAATGCAAATTCATCCAGTAGTTACTAAGCACCTAGTGAATATCAGTCTTTTTTACCTAGAACCTAAGTCTACCATCAACAACTTCTGGATTTATTAACCACCTTTACCTCTTAGATGACACCGGTAATTTTCCCTTACTACAAGCAATGCCAATACACATTTGGCATTTACATATATTCTGATTTTCCAGTCAATAAGAAATCTGCCCCTAAATTACTTTACCTGCTTGTTTAAATATATATTTTTATTACACCCCAGAGGGTGAAAAAGTACAAAAACTTCTCTAGTAACTGACCAAAATTAAAAGTGGGATAAAGACAAAAAAATTGCTCTGAATTATAGCTTTCAGGCATCTTCAAAGGTATAAATAACCTTCTAAACTTTTGTTTTCCATCCAGATATATATTCTTGTGAGGTGCTCATTTTATCTAAGTAAGTTAATGAATTTATAAATTTTTTTTAACAACAGAGTTTCACAAATTTATTTTAAAATTGTAAAATATAGGATTTTTAATGCTCTATTTCTTAATTTTAAGGAACCATCTCCCATTTTTCTAACATTTTTTTCCACAAGTCAATCCAGACCATAACAAATGACCATACCAAACATCACCTTACTCTGCCACATAACACTTTTCCTCCCATTATATAGTAGCAGGCACAAGGGACTCCAAAGGCAATAACCTGGTTGGAAGATATGACAAAGGATTTGTCTTAAAGGTTTGTTTGCCTACTAAAAATGTTGTTTTTATGTATATTCTGTAATTCTTAGAGATGAGAGAGGTTATGGAAGAAGTAACGCCAAGCAGCCCAAGCTACCACTGCAATTATAAATTTGCTTCTAATGTCAGATCTCATGAAGAGTCGTCATACCATTTAGTTTTCAAGTATTACATAAAGAGAAAAAGTACTTATCTAAATAGAACCACAGATCTTGCTTTTGTCTCTCCATTTAAAAATTCAAAAAACCTCCTCAAAATATTCTTCTCTATTTTCTCAATATACCAATATACATTAGCCAAATGGCATCCGTAATTACATATTGGTTTACAAAGAAATATGAGCGAGTGCTCCAACTGCACTAGGCAGACCTAACGAGGCTTTGTGCACACAAGAGAATTAACATTATTGTTACTTAAGAGTATGCAGTACGCATTGCATCTTTCCGGCGATTTAAACTACATGCTATGAATACTGAGATTAAAGTGTAAAATATATGGTCTAAATTGGGAGCTGAACGCTTTATGTTTTGAGTCACTCTTTTTAAAAACCCAGTATCTCCTAGATTAAAAAAGTTTTTTCTGTCAGAAATTCAAAATAGCCGGTGGCATTAAAAATAATAAGTCAGAAAAGATTAAAGATACTAAAAATGACTTATGTAAGCATAAAACACCTTCACACCCTCTTTATCTCACTAAGCACCTCCTAAAAGTTCCACACATTAGAAAAATAGGTCTTAGAAAATAATCCATCCTCTTTTTCACTCTGCTTCTCAAAGAGCTCTTGTAAGGTGACAGAAAACTGGATTCATCTTATAAGATACAAAAAACTTAAAATAACATAAGCTTTTGTAATGGAGATTGTAACAGACAAAATCTTTACCTATTCCCCTCCATCTGCATACCCCTACCCCCACCAGGATACGTAATATATATTCAAGGTTTTGATAAGAGAGAAGTACATTCTTCCAAACCACCATTCTGCTCTTTCACATATAACATCTTAAAATTTAAAGAATTGCAATTAATGTCTCTGGTGTGGTCAAGGAAGTCCACATTGCAGAAGTTGTCACAGAGCAAAGAAACAGAATCATTTAAGAGAACTACATACTTTTTCTTATTGCTTTCATCTGTGTAGGAGGTACCATAAAACCCATAGTAAGAACTCGACATATTTGCTGAATACTCTATCTTCAAGGTATAATTGTGCCCTTCAAGAAGGGCTTCAGGGGCAACGATGGCAATTTGTTCATGAAATGGATATTCCAGAACCTCAACTTGTTTTTCTTGGCTTGAAACTGCTGACATAAAGGTCACTCTTGAAATATTTTGGCCCGTGCTGTGAAGAATGATATTCCATGTGGCCTGAAGAGCCTGAAGTGAAATTGTCACAGAACCCCTAAATGTCATTGAGGTTAGGTTTGGGTGTAGATTAAGTTCATAGCGAAGTGGCATAATGGCAGTGGGAAGCCTGAATTGTGCCCAAGGAAATAACTTCCCATTTCTTGCAAATGGCTGAATTAGTTCCATTGACTGATTTTTCTTATGGCAGCCTTCTTTGGTAAAGGTACATCTGGGCAGCAGGTAAATGACCATGATTACAGAAATGGCAACCAGAATGACAAAAGCACAGACCACCATGGTTCTCGCTGAAGGTACTGAACAAGTCCCATCTGGGCTCTGCCTGTAGCCAGTTGCACTGGTCCGAAGGCCTGAACTTCTGTTCATAAAGGACATGCCCAGCAGCTTGGCAGATGACTCACAATCCTCTTCATCCTCATCCATCTCATGCTCACCAAGACCCCGCACCAGCAGTCGTGAACCCCGGGGCTCATATTCCACCTCGTCAGGTTCTAGAGGATGTAAACAAGGCTCTTTGGCTAAATCCACCACATCTGGTTCTTCCTCAAACATGCTGTTTTCAATCATATTCCTAGGGAGCGGAAGCCGATCTAAAAAACCAAAACATAAGGATAAGGCACAGAGTTAGGAAGACAAACTCATAATGAAATGTCTACTAGTGAGACCACAATTAATAGAAGAATTTTTTATCACTAAGATTTACTTTCATCTCAGAGCTACTGAACTAAATAAAGATGCTGTAATTTTTCTTGTATCCATTAAAAACTCAGGCATAAATAAATATGTATACTACACCCATGAAACAAGAAAGCTAAATAAATGGGCTAGTATTAAGCAAAAAGTAAGAGGTTAAACAATAAGTTCCTTAATACGCTCTGGCCCAGCAGCCTGGACCCTTGTCCTGGGCTTTAGAGAGCCCTGCTTTGGCTGCCTCTGGCTGTGCCCGTGCCCGTCGTTGGGGGTGGAGTCAGTAAGATCAAAGAGATGTGCCCAGCAATGGTCCGTGTCCCACTGCTGGTTCTACCAGAACCAGATTTAGAAGAATTTCTGCTTTCAGGGCCTCTGTGGGTCTCCCCGCTAAGTCCCATTCTCACTAAGGAGGATCACAAACCAGTAAGCCCTTTATAGCCTTAAACAATGGCTAAGCCACAGGCTGAGTTATTCTTTCCCCTAGAAGAGGGATGTTCCTGTTCCACAGCAAACTGAAAGTACATAGAAATTACATAGAAAATTTCCATAGTTAAGAAATACTAAAAATAAGACAAATGAACTGTGAAAATCAGGTACAATCCAATCTGCTTTTTCATGCTTCCAGAACATCCAGTAGCACAACAGAAACCCCTCTCTGATAACCATATTACTTATATACACCACGAGTATAAGCAGATCTTGGGGCTGGGTAGTAGCGGGAGCTTTTATAAACTACAAAAACCACACTCCGTAACTTGCTAAGAGTTGCTGAGAATAAAAGACTCAAAAAGTAAGATGGGCCAATAACCACACATAGATCAGTAACTCCTAGAATCAGATCACTCAATGGTCTTTATTTAAAGAGTCATATTTTTAGATTTAATGTAGCTCAAAAGTCTGATAACTGAAATCCCCACTTACCTTTCCCTACAAGGTACTTCATACATGTCACTTCTAACTCTTACAATAATTCCGTAAAGTGGAAAGTATTGTAGCTATTTCAGGTGACAGAAAAAGAAACAGAAAGAGGGGCTAATTTATCTTCATAAAGTCACAATTATTTAGTCACAAAATTGAGAATGGAGCTCAGTTCTAAAAATCTGTTATCAAATTTCAGATTCTTTCCATTGTTATGTTGCATCCCCCTACTCAACTAATTCAATACAGGATCAGGGCTTGCATCTAAATTACTTATTTTTTTTGTACTTGGCAATGAAGTTGCTAAGGGTATTATTTCTCCACCAGCAGAGCAAAACTGATATAAAATTACTTAATGTTTTGTTCAACAGAAATGCCACTTCTGTTATGCCACAAGCAATAACAGAAATGCTTGTTATGCAACATTAAGTAACTAAATAGTGGTAACTCAATCCATGAAACAAAGTATCAATAAATATGAAGATAAAATTTATAGTCTTGCTACTCAAAATGTGATATGGGGACCAGAGCATCTTTAACACATTGCAGCTTCTTGGAAGTGTGCACTCTCAAGTCCCTTCCATACACTTGAATTTTAACAAATCCTCCAGTGATTTATGTTCCCCTAAGTTTGAGAAGCACTGCTTTCAGCCTTCTCTAGCTACACACTGGACACTCCATTCCTGCAGGTACTCCCACCATCCCAAACTGCCTTCTATTCTGAGAACAAGCCAGGCTGCTATTTCACATTATCCCCCACATGCCTTCTTTCCTACACCTGCACTGTCATCATTTCTCCCTTCCATCCCTGTCTACCTGGTGAGCATCCGTTATTCTGTGACTCAGCTTAACTTGCTACAATGCAAATTAAGAAAAGGGGGGGTGGGCTGCGATGGGAGTAAAAGATAGAAAACTGTACTTGAACAACAATTAAATTTTTAAAAATTTAAAAAAGAAAAGGCATTTATTTTTTTTCTTTATTAACTTTCAAAAATACATTTTCTTTCACTTTATCTCAACCTTTTTTGATTTAGGGAGCACAGACACCCCAATTAGGCTATTTTCCTACCTCCTCTCCATCCTGAATTTCATTAAAGCTATGCTAGTTTAAAGTTTTCTTTGAATAAAACTTTTAATTACTCTCCAGGTGTGGGTTTAGCGAGTTGCCATTTCTCCATCTGCTGTGAGTGATCTGGAAATGGAAGAAGGGTGCTGGTTACACATCCTGCTTTGGGAATTTAGTCTCCTAAACCTCTTACAGTGCCCCGACCTCTTGTGACAAAGTTTTGTTTTGTTTTTATAGTTAATTGTGTTTAGCAGTTATTTACTTAATTAACTGAGCAAACATTACTGTAATTGAACTTAAAAATTAAACTCTTAATGAATATTTAATGTTTAGAAATTTGCTGTGTGTGGTAGTTGTTTAGTACCTGGCAATGCTGTCAATTAGTTGTTTAGTTTGCTTTTTCATTTAAAAATGTCTACAAGACCTTCTATGACTTTTTAAAAATCTCATATGGGAAAATTATGTTCTCTAAGGCATTGGCCCATGTGCTTTGTTCTGTGTCAGACCTGATATGGACAATAATGGGGTCTGGGCACTACGGTTTTATTTAATAAATTTCTAAACTAACTCTAGGCATGATTCAGCTTAATATTTATTTAGAACATTTCCATCTCTGAATTAATCTACCCCTCTAGAACTTCATTTTTGTGTTTTTAGATTCCTAAGTCACTCCCTGTTGAAAGCCAAGGGGTAAACCACAATCTGAACATTTTAGCATATCTTGTCTGCAATTCATTAACTTTACATCTTTGACAAGGGCTTAGTCAGATGCCTATCAAAATCCAGATAACTTTTATTATTTATCACCCTGTCAGATTAATATGTATGTAGAATTTTAATCTTTCATAAATGAAACACATCAACCCATCTACTATATTTTACTGCACATTAGATACAAATGTGTGTATGTGTGCTCCATCACATGAAGTTAAATATATCAAGCCAGGGAAAATCACTTTTATTACAGGCAGCCCATGGAGACTGTACTTCAAGTCTATTGAAGAAAATGTCACTTTGGATTGTTAAGTCAGTGTACTTCAGTTTCAGCACCAAGTTGTAATGTGACACATGACTACCCCTTGCTCACATAGGATTTATTCATATTGAAAGAAGAGATCCTAAAGGATCAGGAGATTTTCTAAAACCCCTTAAATCCACATATACAAACTAAATATAAGCCAAAAGCAAAGAATGTCCTAGTTAAAATATTTCAGTTTCAAATAACAGGCCCGTGTAGTTAAAATCTGAGAAAAACTGCAGACCCTTCTTTTCACCAGACACCATGAACCGGTGCCCCTCAGTTTGCCACCTGAGGCAAGATACACGTCTAAAACTAGTGTTTGAAAACGACTATAGAAATTTCACAGTATTTTATGTCTATTGAATTTAAAAGGGCACTTATATTTTGCATGTCTTTTTTTCATTTCAGTTTTCCAATGATCCATTTTTATATTCCTACATTTCTGTAACATATTATAATTAAAAAAACAAAAACAATAAACCTTAATTCTTCATCTCAGACAATATGAGAAGCAATGGGTTGGATTGTCACAATAATGGCAATCCAGGTCGATATAAAGTTCTCAACTGTCACAGCAGCAGAAGTAAAAAGGAGGGAATGATTACAAGTCATGTTAGAGAAGAAAAATATCTAGAAATGATGTGATGCCGGCGTGGGCTGGATGAGCCTGTAGGGTGGAGAGACACAGGAAGTGTTGAGGCAAGTCTACATGAATTCTCTCAACAATTCTGGCTTGGAGAACTAAAAGGAGGAATGCCATTCATTGAGATTGAGAATATAGGTCTTCATGTTATCACTCTTGTTTTACTTTGGGAGGGGATAGTGAGAATGGAGTTACGAGATGGTGTTTAGTGTGGGACATGACTTATTTAATACCTGTCAGATAGCCAGGTGAAGATATTTAATTAATAGCATATTATAAAATTAACAGCCTAACTTTAGACAGAGGTTAAAATTGTGGCTCTTCCATTGGCTGCTTGATCTGAAACAGGCTATCAAACATGCCTTAGTTAGTTTCAACTTCCTCACCAATAAATGTGGAAAACATTACTATTTTGTAGAACTGTTATAAGGATTATATTATGTGGGTCCAAAAACGGATATGGGTGAAAGATTCAGATTTTGGAATTTTCATGTAATTCCAAATTCAAATTATCTGATAATTAAAATCATGCAGGTGAGTGTGACAATATGGGAGATAAAAGTCAGAAAGCATCAGCATTAAAAAAGTGTGCAGAGGAAGAGGGGCAGCAAAGAAGAATAAGCAAAATGTACTAGAGAGAGAAAAATCAGGGACAGAGGCATCCCAGAAAACAAAAGTAGGTTTTCAAGAAGGAGGATGTGGTCAGCATTTAATGTCTTAGAATTTTCAACTGGTGCACCACAAGACTTTTTAAAACATGCAACACCTGACTAAGTCAGGGGCACTGACCTCATTTTCCTTAGATTGTCAAATTTAAAAAATGACGACAGCCAACAAAACGACAGTCATCCAGTGTGAATGACTAAAAATTATGCCTATTTTATCCTAGCAGATAAACAGAAAATGTGTGTTTTGGTGTGCTACACAATGTTAGTAATTAGTTTATGTGTACCATGAGAGGAAAACCGTTGAAAATCTCTGACTTAGGAAGGTCAAGTAAATGAAGCCTAAAGAGACCACTGGATTTGACAACTAGGGAACCAGTGACTTTTATGAGGCACATTCAATGGAGTAAAGAGAACAGAAGCCTGACTTGAATGGCCCGAAAAAAGAATGGAAAGAAAGAAGGGAAGGCAAGGGCTACAGACTGTCCCTTGAAAGTACATAGTTTTGTGTCAAGAGAAAAGCAAAAGATCAAACTGGAAGAAAACATGGCACAGCAAAGAGTTAAATCCATTTTTTTTGTCCGTGT